TTTCCAGGGGATTGTTGAGATCGTCTTCTAGTTACATGTCTGTGATAGACCCAACTTTCTTCCTGTATTTCAATCAAAACAATATATCCTAATAGCTAATAGAAGCAGATGTGAGAATTGAGCTGTCTTCTATTGAAATGGTGTGATATTGTGAAATATACATTTCTTTGACCCCATTTTCTTGCATACAATTCCTTAATCTCTAAAGTGATTTTTTTTGGTATGCTAATGATTGACTGATGGCTGGAGGCCCTAGGTAGCTTCCGGCAGGGGGCGGGGTAGGGAGGCTGGTCACCAGACAAAGCAGGGCATGATTAGAAGGCTGGGGCTTTCAGCCCACCCCCAACTTCTGGGGAGTGGAAGGGGTGCTGAACTGCTTATTTGACCGCCAATGGCCAGTGGTTTAAGCAATCATGCTTACATAATGAAGCATCCATAGAAGTCCGAAAGGACTAGAGTTTCCATGTAGCTGAACACCTGGAGGTTCCTGGAAGGTGGCATATCTGAAGAGGGCTGGGAAGCTCCACCTTACTTCTCCTATACCTCACCCTAGACACCTCTTCATCTGTATCCTTTGTAAAACTTTTATAATAAAGCAGTAAACGTGGCCGGGCGCGGTAGCGTTCGCCTGTAATCCTAGCACTTTGGGAGGCCAAGGCGGGCAGATCATAAGGTCAAGAGATCGAGACCATCCTGGTCAATATGGTGAAACCCCATCTCTACTAAAAATACAAAAATTAGTTGGGCGTGGTGGTATGCGCCTGTAGTCCCAGCTACTCCGGAGGCTGAGGCAGGAGAATCGCTTGAACCCAGGAGATAGAGGTTGCAGTGAGCCAAGATTGTACCACCGCACACCAGCCTGGTAACAAAGCAAGACTCTGTCTCAAAAAAAAAAAAAAAGAAAAAAAAACAGTAAACATAAGTGTTTTTCTCTGATTTGTATGAGCCACTCTAGCAAATTAATTAAGCCCAAATAGAGTTGTGGGGTCCTAGATTTACAGTTGGTCAATCAGAGGCACAGATAAAACAACCGGGGGCTTTCAACTGGCATCAGAAGTCAGGGGCCATGTCTGGTTTAAAAAAAAAAAAAAAAAAGGAAGGAAGGGAGAAAGGGAGGGAGGGAGGCAGGGGGAAAGAGAGAGACAAGAGAGAGACAAGAGCGAGAAAGAAGAAAAGAAAAATAAGAAAAAAGGCCAGGTGCAGTGGCTCACACCTGTAATCCCAGCATTTTGGGAGGCTGAGGTGGGTGATTCATGAGTTCAGGAGTTCAAGCCTGGCCAAGATCGTGAAAATCTATCTCCAAAAATTAGCCGGGCACAGTGGCAGCCACCTGTAATCCCAGCTACTCAGGAGGCTGAGGCAGGAGAATCGCTTGAACCTGGGCGGCAGAGGTTGCAGTGAGCCAAGATTGTGCCACTGCACTCCAGCCTGGGTGATAGAGATTCCGTCTCAAAAATAAATAAATCAATTAAAGAAGACGAAAAGAAAGAAAGAGAGAGAGAGATAAACAAGAAAGCAAGCAAGAAAGAAAAAAGAAGGAAAGAAACTAGAA